ACTTTTGAACTGTTGCAAGGAAAAGTCAGTATCTCCAGCCAGCAGGCTCTGCAGTGTGTACCCTCTCTCCCTTTCCCTCCCCCTCCCCCTTCCTCTCCTTCCCTCCTTCCTTTTTTTTCTTTCTTCTTTTTCATCCCTTCCTACCTTCCTTCCTTCCCTCTTTCCCTCTCTCTCTCCCTCCCTCCCTCCCTGTCCTTCCTTCCCTCCTTCCTGTCTTACTCTGTCTCTGTCTGGGGAGCTACATGCGCACAGCGAGAACAGAGGCTGCTCTGAACCGTTAGGAGCACTGGTAAATGTATGCTGCCCTTTCTGTGTTGTTGGTCAAGCAGATGAGTTTCCAGAACACAGAGGCAGCTCCCAGGCTGCTTTGGAAGGTCAGCACTAAGCTGCCAAGAATGACCCGGGCCCAGCTGCCCGACTGGCTTACACTGGAGGAATGCTAAGGCCGCTTAAATTCTACAGGAGGGACCCCAGCGCTCAGCTCCGCACCTCTCCCACTGGCCATGGTGCTGAAAGTAAGCTCAGCCATATCAGAGGGGTAAGGGGTCTGTGTCACTGACTTGTAGTTTGGGGAATGTCCCAGGTGTGCTCAAGGAGGGGAGGAGAGGGAGAGAGAGATGAGGGGAGGGGAAAGGAGGGGAGGGAGCATTACTGCTCTCCCCGTTCCCCCTCGGTGCTAGCTCACGCCTGTAATCCTGACTACTCAGCAGGCTGAGATCTGATGATCTCCGTTAGAAGCCGGTCTAGTCAGAGAGATCCATGAGACACTCACCTCAGATTAACCAGCAAAAAGCCAGAAGTGGAGATGTGACTCAAATGGTAGAATGATAGCCTTGAGTGGAAAAGCCAAATGAGTATGAGGCTGAGTGATGTGTGTGTGTGCGTGCACACACATGCATGGAAACACACACACACACACACATGCACACACACACACACACACACACACACACACACACGGACCCAGACACAAAAGCCACCCATGGGCCTAAAAAGAGATTTAGGCCTTTTCATACTTCATTTCCCCAGATTTGCTCTCCCTCCACCACCACCTCATTTTGGCTTAGGTGTTGCTGGCTGACATGGAGTCAGGGCTGGTGACTTTCACCTCCATTCCCTTGCACAACTTTCACAATCATTCTTATGAAAGTTCTCTGAAAGCTATTGAGTGCCAGTGGAGAGGGGAAAGAAGCACACACTAACAGGCTCTGCTCGTCCATTCAACACCAACCAGCCAATACCAGTCCAGTGATAACTGGGAAAAACCACCAGGACACTGGTCCAGCGAATCAGGCATACAAAGGAAAAATGAGGAGAGTAACTGACAGATGTCCTTCGGTCTTTGGATATGATTGCTATAGAACGATGCGGGAGAAACCCATTAATAGGAGCGCTCTCTAGCTTGACATTCTGCACGCTGATTAGCTATATTTACGGAGAGCAGTGTGAAACGAGGGGTCCCCGATCTCTGAGGAGGCGTCACATGCACGCTCCTCTCCGTACCCCTCCCCGGAAGCTCCGACCCCTCTGTCTCCGTGGGAGTGTCATACCCAAGGAGAGCAGGCTGACCTGCCGTGGACACTCGGGTGTCACCCTGAGTGGATGCTGTGTGGAGAGCAGAGCCGATGGCAAGTGTCCAGTTACTCAAAAGGAACAGAGAGTGATAGAAGGCACAACATAGAACTGAGCTGCACTGCACTTGTAATCTGACTTGTTGAGTGGAAACCCCTTTGGACAACTACTTAAACTAAATGAAACAGGAATGTATGAACTCAGGGTCTTCCGCTTTCTAGAAAACACTACACACAAACACATGAGCTGCTGCTTCAGCCTTCTTTCTGGAGGTTGTCTTTCAGATGAGCTGTTGAACTTATTGTTTGGGCCTACCTTGGAACATGATCCTCCTACTTTTGACTTCCAGAGTAGCTAGGATTATGAGCATGAGCCTCCATGCCCAGCTTCGTATTTTAATTGGCTACCAACATTTAGAAATCAGATTTTCATATAAAATATGGATTCTGTGCTTCTCTTGAACTACTGGGAGACCCTGAAATCCAACAACTTCTAAGTGGCAACCAGTGGCCTCCGCCAAGTCAGGCATCTCACAACAGACACAGGTGTGCCTCCAGTCCCGACCCTCTTCTATGCCACGGGACTCCTGAGCGAAGGACCGGGGAGGGGTGGACACCTCAGCCTCTAGAATGCTGAGAAATTCATTTCTACGTTTTAGAAACGTGCCAGGGTCTGTTACTCTGTTACAGCCATTTCATAAGGCACAGAGGTCTTGTGGTGGCTTTTGGGCCTTTGTGCCTAGAAGGGAGACAGGGGATGTGACTCAGCACAGAACATCTCCAGAGGCCTCAGGGACCCTGGGCGGAGAGGGAGGGGACGGGTTCTACAAGGTTGTCTCTGCATGGGCAAGTTGCTGGCAGGGAGCATGGAATCAGCAGTGGAGGAGGACTCTTGCAAGATGGTGCTCCTGGGAGCACTTGGTTGATTCGAACTTGTCTTGTCCTCCCTGTAAGAGCACTGTCCCTATAAGGGCCACAGAGACCTTAACTTCTTTCTTCCTGGACCCCCCAGGAAAGGGGAGAATGGAAGGGGAGCTGGGGGCATTGGGGGTTGGGGTACTAACGCTGTGTTTCTGGAATTCTTCTCCCCGCCATCCCCTCTCCTTGTGGGTGAACACCAGGGATGGGGCACTGAGCAGTGGAGTTTTCCAGTCCTGCAGTTTTTCAGGACTTCAGTGGTCATGGATTCAAGATGGTGTGAGGAATATGCAGTGCAAACAGATCGCTGCTCTAACTAAAGCAGCCGCTGTCCTCTGTGGCTGGTGGCATGGACATCCCAGCCGTAGCCACAGGAGGGACCTGCCCTTGGCCCCGAGCCCTGCACAGGCATTTATCCTTACCTCGGTAGATCAAGGTCTTCTTTGAGACTTCTTTTGTTAGGAACGTAACTTTCATTTCTTACTGTTTCATGAATTCGTATCTAATCCTTCCAAGATGAGAATAAGCTACAAAGGCAATCTCTGTACCCACTGTGGGACCTGGCTCACTCTTTTATGCATTCTTAATTTTTTTGTTATTATAAAGGTGACGTGTGGAGGGGTTACATCGATCAGGTAAGGAGTACATTTCTTGGCCAATGTCACCCCTCCCCTCTCCACCCACAAGTTGTAGAGTTCAATTTCAACAGTGTCTAGCGAGTACCACTGCTGCATTCGTTTACCTTTTGTCCCTCCATTTCTGTGCCCTCTCTTACCCTCCCAAAGACAGATAAACAAACAAGCAAGAAAAAAACAAAAGAAAACAATGACACATTAAAAAAAACTCGTTTCGATTTCCTGGCATTCATTTTGATAACCTTTGTGTATTCTGCTGGGTGTGACAAAGCAATTGCATGTCTGGGACGAATTATCAATGAACTTGGGTCCTAAGAACATACTTTCCTGTTTTTTGTATTACTTCCATTTTTAATTTGCTTGAAAAGTTACCTTCGAAACTGCTTTGGTAGTTTTTAAAGGTGGCCCAGGAATAGCGTGTTTCAGACATCACATGAGCTCACGTGATTGTCACACTCTTGCTGGTGACTTGGCAGGGAGCGGGCTGAGCGCTGAGAAGACAGCCCACAGCTGACGTGTCCACACAGCCCACACAGTCCGCATAGCTGGAGTGCCCGCACAGCCCGTGACCCCACACAGCTGGTGTGCCCGCACACCCTGTGCGCCCACACAGCCGGTGTGCCCACACAACCCACACAGTCCGCACAGACGGAATGCCCGCACAGCCCGTGACCCCGCACAGCTGGTGTGCCCACACAGCCTGTGCGCCCACACAGCCGGTGTGCCCACACAACCCACACAGTCCGCAC